CTTCAAACAAAAGACATGTTAAAAAACTTGATGTGCTCATTGCTGCAGAGAGAATCAAGATTCTTCGCATACATGGACTTAATGTTTAGCTGTATGTGTTTTGACTAAGGAACAATTTAAAGCGAACATTAAAACACCAATTTAGTGTACCACCTTAAAATCTTGTGCATATTAATGAGGTGTCAAAACGCTTGTACCCACGCATCAGCCGCAACCCTAATTTTGGTACCATTTTTCTGTTAAAAAAGTGCGGCCTATCAACGGGTAAATATGGTACCTCTGGAGAACATGAAATGCCATTGCCAAAAGCCTCTCATCATGAGCATGTCCAGATCAGAAAAGAACCCGGGCAGGTTTTACTTCAGGTGTTCCAAGCGCTATTGTAACATCTTTCAATGGGCCGATGAACCCCACAAATCAAAGTCAGAGCTTGGTTAGAAGAGGGTAGAAAGCTTTGGTTGGAACCCCACCCACTTCAACAAGGGGTAGAGAGTATTGTCAAGAGTGTATGACTGTGCAGATCTTGGGAACTGGGAATTTGAAAGAGATCCTTGTAGATGGGTAGTGTGTTTCTGGGCTCACATTTTTCTAGCACTTCAAAATCCTGGGCCCAGTTATTATGACCCTTCACATCAGAGGTGAAGTAATAAACTTCAACCAAGTGCTAAATGGCTTTGTATAAACAAAAAACCTGATTACAAGAAGGTAAGAAGGTACCCTTAGTGGAGAAAAAGGTCAAAAATAAACAGCTTAGCAAGTGGAATCACAAGCCTGATTTCACAAACAACCCAACATGCAGACTCATAAATCCCACAAAATCAGAGATCAGCATAATCAGCAAGCACATTTTAGACAACATAAACAAAGAGATAATCAAAGTAACAAAAGTGAATCTATGGAGATGTACCTCAAATGTCATTGAATGGTTTCAAGGAATCCCCAAAAAATCCCAACACGTGTTCATAACTTTCAATGTATGTGACTTCTAACTATCCATTTCCAACAGCTTCTGACAAAGGCACTTGACTATGCATCCCAATTCACACATATCTCTCCGCAAGACCGCCACATTATCACACACATAAAAAAATCACCGTTGTATCACCAGAACACGCCATGGGAAAAGAAAAACACCAGCAACTTGTTCGACGTGACGATGGGCTCATATGATGGAGCCAAGACATGCAAACTCGTTGGCACCTACATGTTGTCCCTCATCACACCGAAATTTAAAGGCCAAGTTGGTCTCTACCGGGACGATGGTTTGGCAGTGTGCAAAGCAACACCTAAACAAATCAAGAAAACGAAACAAGTCAAATGGCCTCAAAATCACCATCGAAGCAAACAAAAAAAACATAAACTACCTAGACGTAACCCTAGACCTTACAAGAGGATCTTACAAACCCTTCATGAAACCCAACAACAAAATCCTCTACGTCCTCCGACAAAGCAATCACCCACCTGCACTACTAAAGAACATCCCAGAAAACATCAAAAAACTACTAACCAGCATCTCGTCTATCCAGAAAGTTTTCGACGACACGATTCCGCCGTACCAGAAAGCGCTTGATGAGAGTGGCTACAATTACAAGCTCACATATAATCCACAGCCAAAGTGCAACAGAAATCGCCAAAGAAAAATCGTATGGTACAACCCCCATGGAATGCTAACATGAAAACTAACCTGGGAAGGAAGTTCCTAAACATCATCGACAGATGCTTCCCAAACGGACACCCCCTACACAAGATCTTCAACAAGCACACACTGAAGCTCAGCTACTCCTGCATGCCCAACATGAAGAGTATCATCTCGTCACACAACAAAGCACTACTATCAGATTACCACCAGTCGCAAACACAAACAAACATCTAAGAATGCAACTGCAGAAAAAAAAGGATCAATGCCCGCTGGACGGAAAATGCCTCACACAAAATGTAGTTTACCAAGCCACATTCACAACACAAACTTCATCAGACTCATACAAGGGCCTTGCCAGAAATTTTAAAGAGTGCTACAGAAATCACACAGCATCCTTTCAACACCAAAACAAGACAAATGAAACTGAGCTATTTAAACACATTTGGACACTAAAAGACAACAACAAATGTTTTACTATCAAGTGGAGAATTAAGCTGTGCAGACCTTATAGCAACATTAGCCACAAATGTAATTTATGTCTTTTTGAGAAATTTGTGATCATCTGTAAGACGAGTTTGTGTACTCTAACCAAGAGAAACAAACTAGCAAGTGGGTGCCCCCCCAGAAACAGATACCTACTCAAGAACTTTGTGACCAAGTAATGCAATGTTTAAGTAACACATGATTTCAGATTTTAAGTCCCATAGCCACTGCTTTTTATTGCCAGTTTTTCAATGCTATATAGCAT